AAGATCTGCAGAAAGTGGAGCAGATGCTCGGATTGAAGCATTCATTCGGTACAGTATATCATCCCCAATCACAGGGTAAGGTTGAGAGATTAAACCAAACTATTAAACAAAAATTGGCTAAAGTATGTGCACATACCAAATTAAATTGGGTAGATGCTTTGCCTATTGCTTTGATGTCTGTCCGAATGTCTATTAACCAATCAACAGGGTTCTCTCCATATGAGCTCCAGACAGGACGGATGTTTCCAGGACCTGCTACCCGCATCCCAGGATGGAAAGGTGAACTTGCACATTTATCTCATAAAGATTTCTTCAATGAGTTACAGGTCCTGGCAGCAGAATTCACAAAATACCAGACAACAGAGGAACGTCCAGGCTCGGGAGCAGTTCCAGGAATCGACTGGGTGCGCCTGAAGGTCATCAAAAGAAAGTGGTCTGAACCTCGCTTCACCGGACCATACCGAGTCGTGGAGAGGACATCTCATGCTGTCCGTCTACAAGGGAAAGGAGACACGTGGTTCCATTGGAGTCAGTGCACAGCAGCTGAGGAGCCACAACGCACGCTACAAAGCATACAGGAGAATCTGCAGTCTCAACCTGCGGTCGAGGAGTGTCTGCAGGCACATCCCAACGCGGAGGAGGATCTGCATTTCCAGGCAGAAGTGTAGCAGGGATTCCTGCTAAGATTTCTTCATTTTCCTGAATCACAAGGCTTAAAAGGCCCAGACAGGCACAATAATCCTGTTCTGGTGTCCTTCCATTGAGAAAAGGAGATTGCACCCTCTCCTTAAACTCACTGTTAAATTGGCATAATACTCCAATTTTCAGTGAGCAACGGACACTCAGGTGGAAAACCTGAGGTTTACAACCGAGGAGGAACACGTGAAGGATCAGGCTACAAGATCATCATTAACTTATCTTCTTTTTATTGCGTGTTTTCGTTTTTTGCGAACTCTTTAAGAACATTCGTTTCTTTTTGCGCGTATTTTTGGATCGTTTCCTTACGAAGAATTCATATTCATTTTTGGAGGACTATTGAAAGAGCATAGAGACGAACTCTAAGTTCTTATTATTGAATTGTGAAAAAAAAAAAAAAAGTTATTTTGTAATTTTCATGTGTTTATGCTATTTTGTCATTTTTATGTGTTTATGATGTATTTTTTGATGTTGTTATTGTTTTTTATTGACAAATTGTAGTTTTTGTGGTGAATATTGTCTTTTAAGTCTGCTGAGCATTTTTTAGTAATTTTGAGATATCTTACTGTTATTTTTTATTTTTTATTTCATATTCTGGGCTGATATTCCTATTGTGTGTTTGCTTCTCTTTCAGATAACTGAGTTTTATGATTTTTCATATTTGATAAGTGAAATGTATTTTTGGTTTTAGTTTTTACTGGTTAAAATTTTGTGGTTCATCAGGTGAGTATTAAATTGTTGCAGATAATGGAGTTCAGCTTAAAACACGTGATCTGGCAGTGGAAGCTTTTGCTATGTGTATTTTTCGGACTCATTCTGCTGGGAGTATGGGCTTTAGGAGGGTCTACCAGCGGACTAAATTCCTATCAGACATCTGATTTCCGACCGATTTTTGTTGAACGTGGAGTCTCTGGTGGAAATGTGACTGCTCGTGTGAAGCGTTCTTTGAGATCTCCTGTTGATAAGTGCCTCACTAAATATCATGGAATTGAATTGAATTATAGTTTGGGTACTTTGACTGATTTCCAAATTGACCTGTGTGAGGTAACTCGTCGCTGCTGGTCGACTCCTCGATCCTGGCAGAAGACTCCTTTGTATTTGTGTGGAGATCTCACTTTACAGCGACATTGTATTACTCAGGAGAATGGGGTTCGACATTTGTGTCCCACTTGGAATTCGGCTTTCAGATGGGTGGGATCAAGTTGGAGTCCACCTTATGCTTATAAATATGTCACTGAATATGACAAGGTAACCATAAAACGAGGGACTATAGGAAATTCTCCAGCGAAGGGTCAAAATCCTCTTGTGTTAACCATTTCCTCAATGCATAATGCTTTCTTTAAAAAATATCCGGCGGATTCAGCTGTTTATTTAACTTTGGGAGCTTCAATTGATGAGAAAGATCCACTCGGAATTATTAAAATTAATCTGATCAGGCCCCAAGAGGAAGAAGTGGGAATTGAGGTTCCTGATCAGTATGCGGCTAAAATTGACTACACTGCAGTCACACCATTGGACATCATTCAAACAGTGACTGGGTATAAGGACAGGAATTTATGGTTGAATTGGATGGTTCAAACAGCTATAGAAACTAATATTGGGAACTGCATTGCATGTGCAACAGCTAGACCTCATCTTTATACGGAACCTGCCCCATTACACTTGGGGGATAGCTGGGGTTTTGATTGCATGCTGAGATTAACACGTGAGGCGAATCCCATGAATTGTACTGTGTTTGCCACAATATATCCGCCTATTAATAACTATACTCAAACGGGAACTTTTCTTCCGGATAAGGGTACGGGATTGTATGTCTGTTTTAATTTCACTCATCTTGAGCCTGATTTCAATTTTGGACAGATTCCTAGTGATTGGTGTAGTGTTACTTTGATAGCAACCAGAATCGGGAATTGGGCCAGAGCTGGACTTTATTATTTTTGTGGAGGTGATAGATTATATGTGCGAATTCCTCCTAAGACTGTCGGAGTATGTGCTATGACTCGCCTTGCAGTCCCGCTTATGGTTGTAGGAGAAAGACTTGATCCTGTAGGTCCGGCGCAGGTGTTCAACTTACTGACACAGAGAAATAAGCGACAGGTGCGTCATACACATTTGGATACTGCATTTGATTTGACTACTAATTCTCCTACTTATATCGATGCCATCGGTGTGCCGAGAGGGGTTCCGGATCAATATAAATTGGCGGATCAAATTGCAGCAGGGTTTGAGAATTTACCTGTGGTATCAGCTTTCTTTCCTATCACCCCGAATAAAAATGTTGATAGGATTAATTATGTCCATTATAATCTTTTGAGGCTAGCAAATCTGACCAGGGATGCTGTTGGAGGTTTGAAGGACCAGTTAGCCCCGACTTCTTTAATGACAATTCAAAATCGGATGGCCCTGGACATGCTTTTGGCTGAAAAAGGAGGGGTCTGCTTTATGTTCCAAGACAGCTGCTGTACGTTTATACCTAATAATACAGCCCCTGATGGATCTGTCACTAGAGCGTTAGAAGGTTTGAGAATTTTGAGTAAATCTATGCATGAAAATTCGGGTATTAATGGTGGTTTGGACAGGTGGTTTTCTACTATGTTTGGTAAATGGAAAGGGATCGTCATGTCACTGCTAGTTTCTGTGGCTACTTTTGTAGCCATAGTGGTCACCTGTGGATGCTGTTGTGTACCGTGCATCCGGTCGCTTATCATTAGGCTTATTACAGTTTCAATTGAGAAGGGAAGCAGTGGCCCGTCTGCTCCGTCTCCCTATCAGATGCTTTTTCGCGGTGCTGCTGATGAGGGGGTTGTGGAGCTGGTAGGTTCTGTTTAATAAACGGGGACTGTTATATAATTAGGATAATGTTTTAGTTTCTTAGTATACTAAATAGTGTTTTGGTTCCTCTATTAGAAGGCTTAATCAATTAGATTTGTGAGGTCTGTGTGTCTCAGACCTCAAAACGGGGACTGTTAAAGAAAAATGATTATTTTAGTTTTTAAAACAGTTAATCTTATGGCGTGTGTAAAAGGTATGTTGAACACTTTCATTTTGACCATATTTCTGAATTTTGAACAAGGCTGTGTTAATGATTTAAAACTACTAATGGGTAAGTATTCAAAGCACAGGAGGCCTTAAAATGAGTATCTCCTGGGGGGTGAATAACAGTTGAGCCTCAGGGGAGAGGTCTCCTTGGGTTACAGAAGATCAAAGGTCTTCCAGAATAAACATCTGAGATGCTGTAATACTGAATAAAATGTAGAATGTTAAAACATTAACATTTAGTTTTTAAGACATTTTTCTAAGTATTAATATCATGTTTTTTAATTGAAAGTTGTACTATCTGTGTGAATATCAGAATCAAATTGAAATTGTTTGAATGAAAATGTTTTGTTTACTATTAGAAAATTGCTCAGGATATAGGTTTAATGGGGTAATTGAATATGTTAGATTGAATATTATGTTTTATATGTGAGAAAAAGGAATTGTATTTTATGTTCTGTTGATTCTATGTGGTTTAAGGCAGGATTCAATCTTTTGGGGTGGAATGGTGCAAAAGAGCAAGATTGAGCTGTGAAGATAACCTTTCCCTGAACCAAAATACTGAATTTAAGTTTGTTCTTGAGATTTATGGCAGGAAAGGGGCCCTCAACATTCCACATCGATTCTGTTAAACTTTATCTCATGACAGCCAGATGACCTTAGAATCTAGTGGGGGGCCCGGCCGTAAATTAGTTTTTCTGAGTGTCCAAAGTAGCTTCCAATTGGTCAAGCTGGACGACCTTATACTAAAGGGAAGGACTTATCTACATTATAAAATTTTGGGCACAGGGGCAAAAATTCAGATAGCTGCCACTTTTTTGCTTTTGCACCAGCTCTCTCCAAAGACGCGTCTTTGCCTCTCTTTTTCTATTTTTCTTTACCTCAGGTAACTGAATGTATGTTTCTGTTGTTCTGCAGTTTTGTTGTTAACTCATAAGCTGTTTTTTGTTGGATTAAATTCTGTGATTCTGTGACGTTCGCATATCTTGCTGGTTTTCCTTGGGGGCCACACGCAGCTCGCTGAGCGCACCTGGGAGAGGAAGAGAAACACCCAACCTTTTTCCAAAGTTAACTATTTAGAATATTTTCTTCCTTAACAATATATATATATATATATGTGTGGACAAGGAGAGGGAATTCCTTTAAAACTATCCATACATCTGCTTCTATGCAGTGGGTTTGTTTGTTGAATTACATGAAGTTGTAAAAAGTAGTCACTCTATCTGAATTATGCACTGTTGATTTTAATCTTTGTTTTTTTTGTCTCAGAATATCTCCTGGGAATAGGGAAGGATTTGTCTTCTTTTTCTCCTTTCTAATACTGTCCAGGTAAATAACACATTCACACACCAGTGGGCACACCATCACCTTCCCCTTCACAAACACACCGTGCCCTTCAGTTGTACACACTTATTGATTCTACACCCTCTTCTTTCTTCATCTAAAGAAATGCCAGCACAGCTCTTTGGTGGTATTTTTTTCCTGACGTCCAGTGAAGCAGGAGGGAGGCGGACAGGTCTCCGTTGGCCATAGCGCAGCTGTCGTTACAGGTTAGTGCAGGCGAGAAGTGGCTGAGGAGCTGAATGAATAAATAAGATGCTGCAGACTGGGCTCATGTTAAATGTAGAGAGGCTAACGGACCACACGGATGCTGAGCTGATTCTCTTTGTGTGTGTGTTTGATTTCACGTGTACACATGTGCACCACAGAGGACCTGCTGCATGTCCCGCAGAGCTCCCAGTTAGCACACAGCACCAGAGCAGGACACAAACACACACAGAGGACCCTGGAGAGAGGCCTCGAACCTGCCTGTCAGCTGCTGTTAGATCACACTGCATTTGGCTGACACCACAAAACACACACACAAGCACACAATGAAATGGCTTAGAGTTGCACCATTATTTACGTAAAATTGGAAGGATCCATAATGCATATAGACCTTAAAAAACTTTTTAAAACTAAGATTTTATTATCAGACTTTCTCTGGCAATAATCGCCTTTTCTGGTCTACCCTATTAAATATTACGTTAATGGCAGACCTCCACGGGCCAAACAGCTACCTAAATTCCTCTGGAGGCAAACCAGTTTATTTACCTTCAAAGGTTATTGAAACATTAACATGGAAACAATTTAGGCATCCACTGTTTTATTTTACATTGATTATTTTATATGTTCTGTGGTTTAATGGGACATTTTGATACATGTATGTTGAGGATAAATGTCCTGCTGAAAGCATAATGTCCTCCCAGCTCTCCTGTCTGAGCAGCTTTAGAGACAACTGTCCTCTGTTTATAATTACACCCATTCTCAATCAAGTTTGATTTCCTGTCCCTGCTGAGCAGGGGCTGTCCCAGCCTGTTTGGTGCCCTGGGAAAACAGCCCCTACAGTCCTGGGCTAGTATTGCTTACATCTCATTGCCAGCTCATAGCTTTCGCATTTGCAGCATTCCCTTGCTGGCTTTACAATAATTAATAACATCCCATCTCTGCCATTTCCACTAAATGTTCAATGCATATAAATGCACTGAATCATAAGGTTACTCATCATTTTAGTTCACTCTCCTTGCTTTTAAGATATTGCTGCACTCAACCATTTGGTTGCAAACAGTTATTTTTAGTAAGCCTGTTTTGAAACATGCCACGGCAATGATACCTTTCATTAATCTCTTATTTTTTCTCTTTTTCTCAACATGGCACTGTTATAGTCTTGGTTCTGTATGTTTCCTTTTGTGTATTCTGTTTTACTTTGTACCATGTTTTCTAGTTTTAGTGGTTTAATTCTTATTTTGTTGTGTTTTCTGGTTATTTTCAGTTCTCAGGTTTTTATTTGTTGCCCTCTGCTGCCCTCTTGTGTTCTCCTTTTTCCCTTGCTCCTTTCCTTGTTTCTGCTCTGTTCACACCTGCCCCCAATCTGCTCGTTAGCCTTCTCTTTGTTTCAGTCTCCCTTAAATACTCTCTCTGTGCAGTTCTTCAGTGCTGGTTCCTCGTCTAACTTCCTCCAACTCCGTCTCTCTGAGCCCTCCTCCTCGTGATAGTATCCCCCCTTATGTCTCCATGGTTTCTGATTTGTTTCGACTTTGTTTTTTCATGTTTGGATTTTTGGATTTCCTGCCTCTGTGTTCAGTTAACCTTTCATTGAACCCACAAGAAAATCACGTCAGCCTCCCTGCCTCTGCATTTGGGTCCTCAAACCACAACCCAATCCGGACAGGCACCTGATTGCTCATATTCTTGATCTGAGCCAATATCTCTAAAATTGACAATATTACAGATCAGTGGCAATTCCAGAAAACTTCAATAAAGGTGGGCAGAGAGATATAAATGTCTGCTGATGGTTGGGCAAAAACTAACAGGTACCGAAAAAAGTTCAGCATGAACCCACACAGTATCTGTATTTTCCAAACAATTCACTGAAGTTATACAAGATTTTTTTATGACGCCCTTGCTAATAAAGCTCTGCATATATACGTTAATTTATGCTGTTTGAATGTATTTATGGTTCTACATAATATACACATTGAATTGTTTGGGCTGTTTTTTTTTTTTATCTTTAATTACACATAAGACTCATTGATGACTGTAGAGACCAACTTTACCCCATAAAACAAAAAATTATTCTTAAAATAGTGTAAATTATGTATTAGTCATCTTTATTTTCATTATATTGTTGTGAATAATGAATCGCTGTATTTTATGTTTTGATATCCGTCTTTGGTTAATAGCTAAAATTTAAAAGCAGGAAATTCAACAATCTGGTATCACTGCTGCCCTGCCCTGCTGCTGAAACTAACACCTCCCCACAGCATTATACTCCCACCACCGTATCTCAATGTAGTCTGAAGTGTTTTGTTTCCCTTTTTTTAACCCTTTAAAAAACAACTGTATTCATACCTACATTAAGTCAAATACCGAAGCTCTCTTCGCCACTTAGCTGACTTATTGTAGCATCGAACTTTAGTTTATGGTATCTGAGGCCTTTTTAGATAGACCTTTTATCATATGCCTGCCTTTATCGTGCATTTACTTGGTTTTACCAATGACTTAATTACCTACTCCTCTGCATCCTTTTCATTCCTCTTGATACACATTCCTCTCAACATACGGTTAAGCTGAAGAAAATCCACCTTGACCTGTTCCCTCAGGTGCGATTGATGTGACACACCGAGTTCAGGGCAGAGATGAAGTGCAGACAGAGGAAAGACTACAGGCACAACGAGGATGTAGAAAGACGTACTGTTAATGCACAGAATGGAAATGGTGGCTGTGTGTGCTCAGGGAGAAGATAGTCCTTGCTTTGTTAAATGATTTCTTCCAGCTGAACTCCTCCCCCAATATCAGTCAGAAATAGATTGCAGAGAGAAAACAAAGATTCCATGTATACCCAGAGTTTCCTGGGTCACCTTGGCATACTACTCACAGCATAAATCGATTCATTTATTGCCATTCCAGTAACCATTCAGGTTATTCTTGTAAGTATAGGTGCTGTGCAGATCCCATGTTACAGCCAGACCCCCCCACTGAGTATTCTTGATATTTTTCTAACTAATTAAACATTTTAAAGAAAGTGACAGCTATAATGTGTCAGTTGAGTTTTGCGATGTGTAGCCTTGGTATTAGCTATGAGTTAGTTAACAGTATTGGTGCTTACCAAGGTTTATGCTGCTAAATGTTTAAATCCCATTGTTGCTATGCTTTAAATCTTCCATGACATACGAGAGAAACTTCTGGATCAGTTGAGGTTTTCTCTGCCTACAGTGTAAACATTTATTGCTGTAAGCTTCCAGTCAATTGTCGGAAGAAAGCCCCCCAATCATCACCCTTGATGAAGTGTAAATTATACATACCAGCTATATACCCACATTTGGTTATATTCTGTTCAGTCATGTCTTTTCTATTCCTTATTTATCTCTGGATTTTTGTGTATTTAGTTTATCGTCTTTGAGTTTTAAATCTCGTCAGTTCTTTGGGCCATGATTAGCCATTATTCTAGTGAACCAAGACTTCTGTGTTTCCCCTGAGAACCTTTCTATTGGCTAGTAGGCCCATTCTTCAAGTCACCTGGCAGATAACCCTGGAAGATGTAATTATTTTCTTTGATCTCTGACCCAAAGCATATTCATTACACGGTTTTGCCTCAAAGTGGATATCTGCCGCTCTTGCTGGTGTTTCCGAACGCACCATCCGTGGTGTGCTCTAGTGGAGACAGCTTTGGAAATAGTGTATGAACGATTCCCATAGAACTAGTTTCTAACTAGAGAAAACAGGTAAGATGCCCTTTAGTTATTCACAGCGGTTTCTGTTATCTAGATAATCTAGTAATTGCATAAATTTATGTGTTAGATTAACAGTGGAAATAAATGGTATATATAATGTTACTGTTACTGTAACTGTAATATCCAGCATTCTACTACTGTATTTACAGAAGCATATTAAAAATGGGAATGTCATTCAGGCCCATGTCTAGTTCTTAAGTGGACAACCTAAAGGTAAGTTGCCCTCTACTGACATCTTAAGATTTGGACCTCTTTTAATATAAATTAACTGGATGCTAAGCTCAACCTCAGATCTCCATCAGGTTTGCAGAGCAGAAACATGCTTGACTTCCTTCAGTAGCAGTACTCCTTAGTACCGCTAGATGGCGGTGTGATTCTGCTACAGCATCCAGCTAATTTATCACTTACAGTAGTCCAGTCCAGTCAGGTTAACTAAATTAATTAACTAAATTATATAGATTTTGCATGCGGGAAATGTACACTCAGATTTGTACAAAAAAATGTAAAAGAATTCTGAGTTGTAACCATAAAAATAAAACAGGGAGTTGAATGTTAACTTTGATCTAAGATGAAAACATGCAAATAAGAGCTTTAATATGCCATAAAAAGCTGGTGGGACTCATTTTTAATTATAGCAGCTATATCTAAAATTATTCCTACCCTTGGCAGGTTTTGGTTTAAAGTATTTTTTGTTTGTATCTTCTAACTTAATAACAGTCAAATCTGACTTGAATTATACAGAAAATCTGCAGAGGGACTTAAAAAAATGAGCCTTTGTTTCTTTAACTTCAAGCTTATCAGACAAAGATGAATTGTTAAAGCACTAAAGAAACAAAAAATCAAAACATCGCTCAAATAATGTAGAAAGGGTTTGATTGCTGTAAGGCCAAAAGATGCTTCCACTGACCACTGAACATGGTACAATAATTATTTTATTTTATTGATTATTTTCGGTAAAATCTAATTGAAATATACATATTTATTTTAACTTTTAATACATTTTTTTTTAATCTTTTGAGCAGCTAATTTAAAATAAATGCAAAGCTGTACATAAACATATGTGACAAAACATGCCCGTATGGGTCATGTACAAAGTTATAAGAATAAAAATAAATTACCTATTCTACACCACTCGCTTCAGCTGTCAAACCAATATTAATAATAACGCAACAACAAAAATATTAAATATTATACAGTTCTAAGGCTTAAACACACTTGAATTGACATAATGATTAATCTGACAAGATCAATTATCCAAATGTAGGAATATTTTTTTATATTTATCAATAACTGAGGAAATATATCCAGTTTAAATAGACGACACACAAACAGTATGTATTAACATCAAGATTGAAAGCCCTCAGTACTTATAATTGGGAGATAATTAGTCTTTGCTATATAGATATTCTGGTAATATTTACTTTATAGTAACACTTAACAAATCAGAAGGCATTAAGCTAAGCATTGATGTTATTAGTGTGCTATTACTATTATATTAACTGGGAAGATGTGAACATTTCTTGGTGTTTGAAAGCTCAGCTCATACAGGGATGAGTTAGGGCGCTGAGAATGAGAAGCAAAGGGTTAAATTAGATTTGGGTTTTAAGGTGCTGAGTAATAAATACATTTCATTAAACAACTTTAACCATTCAGATGAGACAATTATGTCGACTTTATCAGACCGATTAAACCAATGGAGACTTTTTTATTATCATCTCCAATCAATCTGTTTTGTTGTCCAGTTGAGTTGGTTCCACAAAGCAACTATTCAGTGAAGGGTGACATATGGCTGAAGCACACACGCCTCAAACACCGATATACGGCCCATTTGCACACATGTTCCTGTTCCACAGTAAGAAATTATCGGGTGTGTCGCAGCATATGTCCGCTACTGGACCTTAGAGTCTGAACATGTGCCTCTTTCACTCATATGTATGTGTGTGTTTGTGTGTGTGTGGGCATGTATGTGTGAGAGAAATTTTTGGAATAACATATGTTTGCAAAATACATGTGTCAGCAAACGCTGTCCATGCACTGGCATATGTCGATGCATAGCCTTCTATGTTTACACGTTTTGTTTTCTCTGAGCAAGCCTGTGTTTGTGTGAATTTGTTCATGGAGAGTGGCCAGTAATCCACACAGGGCAGCTGTGCTCATTCGTATTCAGCCCCAGGGCACTTTCTTGGGTCGTCTCGCTGATTAGGGATCAGAGATGGAAGGAAGGAGTGAAACGGTGGACAGTGAGGAAGACAAAGAGAGGCAAAGATAGAGAGATAGGGGGGGGGGGGTAAAGCAAAATACAGAGGTCCTCCCTCATTTTGTAAACAGTTTGTTAATGTCGTTAATCCTATTAAGCAGGGGAAGAAGCATGGCCCCTCACATTACATGCATTAATACAGGGTTGCAATGTGCAATCCCTTCCTCTATCTTTCTCTCTCTCTCCGTCCCACACACACACACAGCAACACATGCTCTGCTCCAGCCAGGAAATGAAATTGATTTGCCCTCATAAACATTTGATAAAGCTCTAATGCTGCGCCAGGAACAGCTTAGAAAGGCCTGAAGAGTGGACTCATGAAAATGACATGTAAATCAAATGAGCGTCGTATAGTTCCCGGCATAATTTGCCAACAATTATTGTTTTGACCCGGCTCCTCAGTTGACAAAAGAAACCTGCTCCCTCTGAGGAGCAGGAAATCAGCTTTTCAAGTGCTCTTGTGTTTGAAGAGCGGAGAGCAAGGCGAGGCGTGATTGCCGAGATGTGCAGAGGGAATCAGACGTGGGGTGATTTCATACAAGAAGCGAAAGCACAGCAAAGGCCATGGTCACTTGTTTGCCCGCATATATGATGCATTTGGAAGCCGTTCCCTAAGATATGCAGACAGAAAGATTGATAATAATAATGATTTAATTTGCCACTTGAAAACAGCTTGTTCACGTTTCACTTTATTTATATGGGATATTAGTGCATTTGGCAGTAACTGTCGAGCCATCGATATATTATTCACATTGTGCACATAAATATACATGGAGAATAGCAGCAGCATACAAGAGAAGAAATATTAAAGCAGATGCACATCCCTCTCATCTGCAATGTAAATATAGACATACGTGCGACCATATCATCTAGACATGACATTATTGTTAGTGAGGAAACTCCATGTAAGGATTTGTATTTGATTTGAGCTTTTCCACTTTTGATTTAATTCCATGTTTACTCATGTTTTATTGCTGATTCAGGCTTTCTCGAGCACGAATGCTCTCAGGCCATCCTGCTGCGTATGCTGGATCATTACTGCCAACGTTCATTGGTGTTTTAAATTAGAGACGCAAAAACCAAAGACCCTTCTGTGACTCTTCATTTCCTCTTTAGGTAACACTGGAAAAGCTAAATCTTACTTAAAGATAAGACAGGGGCAGATTTACTATTAGACAGAACTAGGCAGCTGCGTAGGGCCCATAAAACTGCTTTTACATACATGGTTAATACATGTACTACATTTGGAGATATATTGCAGTATTTTCCATCTGCGTTACAGTGACGTAGAAAAAATTGAAGTTGCATGTACCATTGAAGTAGCAATTGAGTAAATATACTGCAATTTAACCAGTGGGTAAAAGCCTTATACTGTGTTTTATGTGTGTTTGTTTTCAGAATGAGACAGGGATGGACTGTGACAGAGAGAGTTTCAAAATTATCCAGCCAGGCTGTGATATTGATGTTGTTCCACCAAACTGTGAGATTCCAGCATCATCCACTCATCCAGCAGTGTACTCCTGGAAGATGACCCTCTGACACTCTGGCCAAAGCAGCTGTCTGATTGGGCAAGCTGCTCAATAGTACAGAGAGGACCACTCCACGGTCAAGATATTTCCAAGAAATTGAGATGGGCGCAGATTTACTTTCAGCTATTATTTCATTCAAATGAAAAATGGAAAACAGATAACATCATGGCTTGTCTCAGGTAAAAAGAAGGACTTTAATTTGCTTTTGCTGTTGCCTTTTTGAAAATACAGGATAGAGCAACCAGCTAAGTGAGAATGGGCTTAGTGAGGGACAAAAGGTAGAAAAATTAATGTATTTTCATTATATTAGAATGTATAATGGGTCTGTTTTATGTGTTTTCTTCTCATTTCAGAGGGCCCCATACCTTTCTTTGCCTAGGGTCCCAAATTTCCTAAATCTGCCCCTGAAATAGGATAAATCTTATGTTTAAGTATTCCTCATAAACTGCATGCAAACTTTGTGTTCTAAATGATCCTGGAATTTGAAGCAAAAACACATTGAACTCCTCCTAAAAGGCTGGTTCCAGAGCATCCTTTAAGTCTCACCCACTTTACTTCCACTTTATTCTATTTTTTCTAATAAAAGAAGAATACAGTAAACAAACAAATTTATCATGTGTGTCTAATTGTTTTAAGAATATATCCTCTGTTTATTTTATTGTTCAGCACATTGATCCAATGGTATGTAGTGTAAGAAGTTAAATAAAACGTTTAAAGGAATAATTTAGTGCCCTTCGTGAGGCCACAGTCAAAAGGTCTCTCTGTCTTCAACACCCACAAGCTACTAATGTTTAACTGATTCTGCAGCCAGGACAACACAGCTTGTCCTCATTAGGAGAGGATTTTGTAATTTACCTTGAACTCCTTTAAAAGTTTATTACTATTCCCATTTTTTTACCTTTGATTAAATAACTTAAATAGAAAGCTGCCATAGTTAGATCCACAGGTAACAGGATATAAAGGAAATCCCACCTGAAGGTGTTTCACTGAGTGTTTGTCGGAATACAAATAACTCTGACAAAATTGAAAATATATGCAATTTACTTTTAGTGACACCACGTGGCTGCTTCGGTAAGCCCTTTCTTTCATAGTTTTGTGTTAAGGCTTCATATGCAATAAAAATAGATAAAGTCAGGGTTTAATTTCTAGCACTGTTTCCAGGCATCAAGGCAACAGTGTGTAGGTTTTTGCATGGACTTTAAATGTTTTCCCCACTCATCTAAGGGTTTTCCCCAGGTACTCTGCCTCCTTCCAAAAGTCCAAAAATATGCATGTTAGTTTTTATAGATCTTCTTCTAGTTCTATGCATGCATGGCTATTTCGCCTATGTGGTGACATGTAACCATTTTTCGGACCACTAACCTATCTAAGGTTTGCTCTGCTTCCTGCTCCAATAGGTGACAGTATGCTGGTGAGGACAAATGCAGATGATGGATAACTGGATGGGTGAACAGGAAGATGTTTTTTTTAATGCTTTCTTAAATAGAATTTAGATTTTGCTAATCTGAAAACTGTTTAAATTATAGCAAGTGATGGAGCCTTTCTTTGTTCAAGTGTTAAGTTTTGGTACAGTGAGCAAATAAGAAAAATAAAAGGTTATAAATTATGTCTGTAAACATTAACTACCTGATTTTGTGCATCAAACTATTGATTAAATTTATATTGATTAAATTAACTATATTTTGATTTAATTTAATTAATCTGATTAAATAAACTACATTAATCAGTCTTTAAACCATTTTGAATAATTTATTTTTATGTATTTAAAACACCAGATTTTTTTTCTAGATTAATAATTTGATGGGTTTTTTTCTTTTCTTTCAAGGCGTCTTTAAGGATTTTCAACTGTCAGTTTAAACTTTTTAATTTGCTTCAGTCACATAATTCCCTAGATAAGCAGTGAAGCAGATTAAAATACTATGAAAACAACTGGGCTATTATTGCTGCAGGAAGGATGGAATTTTATTAATTATTCCTGCACTTTTAAACATGTAGGCAAAAAATACATATATGTTGGCTGAATTCCTAAAACTGCAAGTTTGTTCCAGTGGAGTCAATAAAATCCCTCCCAAACCACTTACAAGCTTTGCCCCACCAATTCCTACATTAGTTCACGCTGCAAAGCATACATTTTGATTGAAGTTGTTATTGACCAATGGCGTCCCGGCTGCCGATTAATTCTGTCCAATCACAGCCGAGCCTCTTATTAATCGCCCCTCCTCTAAAGTGTGAGCTGAAAACGAACGTCATTTGCCTCGTACACTTAGCATTAGCCTTAAATTAGCTTGGTTTTAACACTGTAAATGTATTATCCTAGATAGATGCGGACTGTTTTTTAAACCCTCAGTCACATTCAGAGGTAGTAAATCGCCCAGTTTGTCTCAACAGCGGGAAACATGTATATTAAGGCTTTAATCCGTTGCAGGGACATGCTAAAGGGAGAACTCTTGGTCTGAAATGCTTGCTAGCCTTCGGAAAGGGGCCGAAAACCGAAAGTGGCTAACAGCGCCGACGGTTAACTCACCGCCAGCAAAGCCAGCGGGCTTTCTCACATCTGTCGTCGGCACAAGAAGGTGGACAGACTGAAACGGCGTCTTTCCTACAACGTAAGTAACGCCTCATAATTGTACTTAGCAATTTTATGACACTTGGCTCGCCACCAGCTAAGCTGCATTTTAACAACTGTAAAGTTCGCTAGCTGGTTGTCTTTAAATTGAAGTGGCCTAAGATATATTTGGCAGGTCGTTATAAAACGCTGGGTAATAAAGGGTGGCTCATAAAAAAATATGGGTTTATGTGTTTTTAGTCATTTCAGGTCCTTTTTGGCTTGAGGCTAAAAGTTAAAATTGTGTTATTAGCTACGGTTGAGAGCAGTTAACTCTCCTACTTGTATATACTTGCGCTACATTTGATAAAATATAGGGATATCGAGGTTAATATCTCATTCATACAAAATAATATACATTGTATTAATTGCTGGAAATAAAGGTATGAAAAATATCAAATATTTTTAACGATTGCAACAGGTGCCCCTCATGCAGCAATATATCTGTTTTTTTTTTTTTTTTTACATTAAGGTAAATTAGTCCCATACTTTGTATCATAGGGGAATAATTACCATCCTTTTATTTAATTAAATACTCCTATTAGTGAATAGCCTCTTTCTCTCTTCATTAAGAGGTGTCCTATTCGGTTAAAATCTAACACCAGCTCATGAACTTGTTTTAATTGCATGTTGTATTGCTGATTGTTGTTTTTAGTTGACAGTGTGTTCCAGAAATGGCTGCATTATCAGTGGGATGTTTGTGTTGGCACCTCTTCATTACATTTTCTGCCTAGCAATGCTGCTTTAGTATCCTAATGCTGTGAGTCTATGCACTTATTGAAATTCATTGACCTTATGTCAGTCATCTGACTGAATTTATTATTGGTATATTAGCAACAGTTTTAGATGTTTTGCATTGAAGGAGCAATGAAAGGAGAATTCAAAGTGTACTGAGATCATTTGGGGGAAAAGCAACAACGAAAAAACATCTGAGAAAGCATCAGCACCTATTAATGTCAAATCCATGTAAGATAAAAAATATCTTAATTACATAAGACTATATTTTGGAATATAGTGAAGAATAAAGTGAGACCTAAGCCTCCTGTTTGCTTTCTTTTAAATTTTGAATGTTATAGATACATTCTCATGCTGAGCTTGAAACTATTGCCATTTTTTTTTTTTTTTTGTACACTGGGCTTTGTGTAGACAGACCAAATTTAAAAATATTCAAGATATGTTTACATTATCAGAAGAGATTATCATAAACCAGTGTTCAAATGACAAGCAGTTTTTTCCTTCTTTTTTTGTGTGCAGTCATTATCATATGCAAAAAAGCGATTGCAGTATGATGTGCAGCCACTGTTTGACTCATGGTAAACTTTTTTATTGCCAATATGCGACCTGTATCTGCTCTTTTCATGGCAGTTTGAACATCACAGATCCAATTTCTTCCAATGTGACCCAGGCCACTTGGCTAGGTGGTCCTGAATCTGATGCTGATCTGATCTTTTCAAGTCTCATTCATCCAACCTGAACACCATTATTACTCAACATAGCTCACTATTCTGTGTCTTGCCACGCAGAAGAGGGAAGAAAAACAACAATCATGGCGGTCGATAATGAGGAGAGCAGTTTTTTTAACCAACTTGAATAAAAATTAGTTTTTAACGTTAGAAAAGATTGGTAGATGAGCTCCTGCACTACCATCCATGTTTACTTCCGTAAACACAGTGTGCTTGCTTGTGACGTCATTTTGTCCTCTACTGCGCATGCGTATGAACACAGTTCACACAGGAGATCAAATACATGTCGTATATATTTGGAAATGTGAATGGCAATGCAAAAAAAATTGGAATTGCACTAAGTGTGAACGTAGCCTGAGTGTTCTAGACTGTAGAGATGAAACAACGAAACATAAACAAAGCAGTGTAGTTGAGGCCTCCATGTGTTGAACTAGACGGGTCAGCAATATGTTGGTCATTTTTATATTGCTCTGAATGTCCAATCCTTTTTTAATACAATATGATGAAAGTAACATTGTTAACTGGTTGATTTTTTTTTTTCTTTACAAGCAAACCTGCATTTGGCTCCCTAACGGACCTGCTGCCCATAGCTAACCAAATGTGTTAAAATAGCACCAGTCTAATAAGATTGATTTGTGCCACTCCTTTATTACCTTTATGTTACTTTTCAGGTTTTAAATGACTGAAGTAATTTTTGTCCAATTGAATTAGTCTTGCAAGCAAGGAAAAGTTATCAAAGCAGTTAGGCCATGCAGCCTACATTAAGGAGCGGTATTAACTAGAAACCTTGAAACGATAACAGGGGTTTCTATCAAGAGGGAGAAAGTGAGCACACTACACAAAATATCTCTTAATAACCTTTCTTTGAGTGTGGTTATTGCATGCTTACTATTTTTTTTTTTTTTTACACTTTATCCCACAGGAATTTAGTTGACTCTTAAAGCCTTCTATCATGCTGCATGTGTCTTATTTTTTTCCCTTTGAACCAGATCAGATCTTAACTTTGGATGATGGGCTTGTGGACAGAGAGAGCAGGTAGATACAGGTACAGATGGCCTTTTTGCTGCCAAGAAACCACTCAGACTACTATATCAAGATGCGTTTACTTTCCTGCTCTTCAGCCACAGTCTTATAGGCTTCTGTCTGGTCAAGTAACGGCTCCATAATCCCAGGCGCCACTGCAGTGATGGTGCTTGTGTTCAGA